TTCCCATCTCTGGGCTGGGGCTCCCCAGTACCAGCTCCTTCCACTTGACCGCATCCAGCGCAGAGCGGCTCGAATCGTCGACGACCGAGTAAAAAGTGACTTGAATCCTCTTTTTTAATTGATAAATAGTAGAATACTAAACAATAATATTCTAAACATAAATAATAAATATAGTACTAAATATACCGAACAATAATCGGCTAGTTAAGAAGCTAATAAGCGTGGCTTAAACGTGGTTTTAGGTCACCGTTTGCTATGAAATATAACAAATATTGTAAAAATCGAAAAAGTTATTGAGTCGTAAGACACATAATATTTTAATAAATTAAAACCAAAGGTTATAACACTTAACTTACCGTAAATAACATATATTTGAACTTGCTCTTGCATTTTTATTTTTGATTTACGAATATCATTCCCCTTTTAAACAGAATTAAAAAATATTGAGGGTGTTAGGTTGGGGGACAGTTGGGTATGTGGGGGTTGAGCATAGATAGTTTTGCAAGAATATAAAATATTCTTAGCTTAGCAATATAATAGATAGGAGAAAGATTACCACAAAAATACACTTAGCTTAGATAATTTGCGTTTTACACGAATTTTGATCAGCGATAGTGTTTAAAGTCTAAACACTAGTCTACGCTTTTTGCCAACTGACGTTTAGTACAAACGATTGTAGCGGCGCTGTCGTCGCACCACAAGCGAAATACACCGAAGCTTAAATCACGCTATCAACATTCCGAATCATAGACAGTATATATAGAACTTCTCCGAACTATTACACGGAGTGTTGGCCGCTCCCCGGGCATAACAACTTGCCCGGCGGGAGATCTCCCCTTTTCCTACCACGGCCACAGTGGTGACTAACCGACGTGATTCTGAACACGCAACCAAACAACCTTCGGAAACTTCAAGCTTCATCATCGTCATAGAATACCCCACCCATTCGCTCCCGAGCAGATATAAACTGCAGTCTTCATATCCTGCAAGCCATCTAGCTTCACAAGGTTCATCGCAGCACTGGAATAATAATGCTTCCTGTTCCTTCAAGCTACTCTCTGCGCTACAGTGTTCGGCACGGCTCTGAGCCTTACTGCTCGCCTCTGCTTCACGGCACTCTCGCAGATTACTTGCCTTCTTCTCGACTCACCGCAGACACTACAAGGCAATCTCCTGGCACTTGCACATTCGTCGGCAACGAGGCTGCACTATCGACCTCCGGTCTGAGCAGGGGGGTGATGTAGCGGCGCTGTCGTCGCACCACAAGCGAAATACACCGAAGCTTAAATCACGCTATCAACATTCCGAATCATAGACAGCATATATAGAACTTCTCCGAACTATCACTCGGAGTGTCGGCCGCTCCCCGGGTAGAACACCTTGCCCGGCGGGAGATCTCCCCTTTTCCTACCACGGCCACACGATAAAAAAATGTTAAAGTTTAAATTTATTTTATTTTTTAACAAATAGCAAAAAACATGAATAACTAAGGAGAATAAGATAGTTTTCACTCAAAAGTTTTCGAAACCAGGGCGTTAATTCTTTGACTAGCAATAAATCTTAGGTTATCAACTGTAGGTTTTGATTATTATAAGTTGTTATCTGGGAAATGCTGCTGCCTTTCCTGTTATTATAATTTTTAAATAAGGTACAGTCACATTTCAACATCACCGTCTAAAAAGAGCATCCCCTACTCTTGACCCGTTTGATGCACGCCTCACTGCATAAGATTGAGATAATTAGATATGTTACTGTTTAGCGCGTTGACTGTACATAATATAATAATCTTAATAGTTATTAAAGAGACCTTGCATTTAACATGGTTATAGCGTCAATCTCTTTACTTATATCCATTAAAATGTTATTATTACTATCACAATTTAATGAAATAATTAAGTGATAATATTTATGGAAATTATTATATTTATGTAAATTATTATATCAGGCAATTAATCATATGCTTGAATTTATTTATCTGATAATGCCAACTACCTATGCAACTATTTAAAAACATTTTATCGTCGAGTTTTCAATTTTTATTAAATTCATGTTTAATAAATAAAAGTAAAATTATTTTTATTTACGTATTCCTATTTTTATTTATGTATTATCAACTCTTGATTCTTAAAAAAGGATCAAGAGTTGATAATAACATAAATGTTGTTTTGTTGTTAGCCACACTACAGTTAACTATGTATATCTACATCATCATCATCATTACAGCCCTTCACAAGTCCACTGCTGAACATAGGCCTCCCCCAAGGAATGCCACAAAGCACGGTCCTGAGCCACCTGCATCCACCAACTTTCTGTATGCCTTACCAGCTCGTTGCTCAATCTAATGGGTGACGCCCTACCTCTATGTCTAATAATAATAATAGTTTTTACTGATCATTATACAGGGATTACGTGAAGTCTCTGATTGCTTAACTAGTAATTATAATTGTATCTCAGCAATCAGCGCCCTCTCCCAATTTTATGACCAAAAAAGTTAACAATAAAGGTTCCAATTAACAATTATGTTTCAAATAGAATAAGAATATTTAAACTTACTACTTAATGTGTGGACTATGTGTTAAGTGCGTTAATGTGCATTTAGTGTGTGTGTGTGTGTGTGTGTGTGTGTGTGTGTGTGTGTGTGTGTGTGTGTGTGTGTGTGTGTGTGTGATAAGATAAAATGCCTCATTCGTTCATTATCTATATAGTACCTAGATGACCTATTTTTTTTTAAATTACATTTAGATACAAATTACATACTGATGGAATATAAATAATATTTTTTGATCATATTGACATAATAGAAAAAACTGAACTGGTTATTTGAATAAAAAATCATGAGTGCAATTAGTTTAATTAAAATTTTCGTATTTTTAAAAAATACTAAAAAAGGGCTCGAAATAATAGATTTTGTCACAAAGGAAGGAAACTTGAAAAAAAAGGAAAAAGGTCGGACCGAAGACAGGACGCGAACCAAGGCATTACGATTTCGTGACCGCTCGACATCCACTTGAGCCATTACAATCATTAACACAGTATCAAAATTTACGTTCTTATATTGTAGCAGTTTTTGATTGCCTGAAAACACGGACAAAAAGACATTTTCTAAAAATAATTCCTAGCTAGATCGATTTATTGCCCCCGAAACGCCCTGGACCCTAAATATTATGAAAATCGTTGGAGCCGTTTCCGAGATTCAGATTACTGTTTCCATTTCCAGTCTCTGGAACATTAAGATCACTGTGATTCTATCCGTAACAAATCATTTAAAATAAATAGTTAGAAGCCGCCTTAGCCGTCAAAACTACTATAAATCACAAAGTGGCACTCCGGTGAACATAGAAGCAAGAAAACTCTGGGCTACGAGCAAGATATATCCAGTATAGTGCAGAATAAACATTAGAACATTTCACATCATTCGAAACTCATTCTGTCAAAATACTTCACCCTGTCAAGTTGGCATTACCTTCAAAGAGCGAACCTAACGTTAATTTACTAAGTTGGCATTACCGCCAATGAATGAATGAATGACAATTAACGTCACATCAGGTCATCAAGTTGGTATACCTGCGAGCGAACGATAGGGTGACCACCAGTGTTGCAAGTACATGAAAAATAATAACTGCGATTTATAGTACGTTTCGTTCTACGCTACTTGTACTAAAAATATGGAGGAACAATTTCAATTATTATTTAACGACATGAAATCAGAAATCCAGAATCAAATAGTGGAGCTAAACGAATCACTTACAAAAAACTTAATGGATAACCCCTAGAACCCTATTACTGAAGAGAATGAACAATTATAACAAAAAGTTAGCGATCTAGAGAAAGAGGTAGAATCTTTGAAAAGAGACAAGAAAGGTAACAACATTATTATTTTCGGACTAGAAGAGGGAGAAAACTCGATTTCGGAGCTTTTTGAAAGTGTCAAGGGGATCCTGAAGGGAGACCTAAACAAAAATATGGAGCAATTTGAAATAAACAATTTATACAGACTGAGAAAAATAAAGTTCAGAATAAACCAAGACCGATGCTTTGCTCTCTTATAAATGCAAGGAAAAAAGATGAAATAATGAAGAACAGGAAAAATCTAAAGAACATTTATATATCAGTGGATTACTCAAAGGAAGTCTTGGAGAAGGAAAGCACTGCTACCACGGTTAAAAGAAGAGAGAGAGAAAGGAAATATAGCTTTTCTGAATTACGACAAACTAGTAGTCAAAGAACTCAACGCATAAAAAAATGAAAAGGGAGCCAACTACCTCACCGTCAGCATCCAAAACTCAACCTAAAAAACAACTTACCCTAAACTTTGCTAAAAATAATAGGATGCATGCCTTCGATGCAACAAGACCCAGATCAAACTCTCTGACAAACAAACCTATACCCAATAAACAATAGCAATTAAATGAGAAACGGAAAACCCAAACAAACTATGAAAGCAAACAAACAGAAAAAACATCTTCCCCCAAGCCGACTGGTCCTCGTGGGGACAAAGACCATAACCCTTCAACAATACAGAGAAACAACTACAAAGAAACAAACATTTATGTCACAGCCCTCAACGTGCGCACACTGAAAAATGAAGGAAACCTTATAGAATTAAATAATGAGTTAAAACAAATTAAATGGGATATCTTCGGCCTTAGTGAAGTAAGACGAATGGGAGAAAAAATTACCTCGGAACCAGACTTCTTAATGTATCATATAGGAACAACGCCAGGCCTACATGGCATTGATTACATCGTCAAAAAATATCTTGAAAAATCTGTTGAAGGATTTATCGGATTTATCGGCCAAATTGGAACTAGGCGCCCGGGAGAAGAAACAACACTAGGACCATTCATCTACAGAAATAAAACTAGAAGCAGAAATGGAGAAAAACTTATAAACTTCACACTAGAAAATAACCTATTTTAAACTCAGTATACAAGAAAAACAAAAAGAAGATGTGGACATAGATTGCACCAGATGGGAAAATAAAGAACCAAATTGATTACATGATTACGAACAGAAACAACCGCTTTGCAAATTTTGACATCATCAACAAGCTCAACTTCAATACCAATCACAGACTAATTAGAGCTGAAATAAAATCAGTACAACCAAAAAACCCTAGACCGAGACAGGAACTACCAACTAACAAGCTCAGCAAGCAACAAAACGAGCAACTAGTACTCACCCTAACGGACAAATTTACAGAACTAGAAGAGTACGCAAAGATCGCAGGAACTCAGGAAAAATACAACTGGATAGAGACTACTATTAAAGTTCAACTACAACACATTAATAAGATAAAACCTGATCCGAGGAACGTGTTAACAACTAGTACCATGAAATTGCTAGAACAAAGAAACCAGCTAATCAACACAAAAGATATAAACGACAGAAGAAAGCACATAGCGAAAATCAGTAAAGACATCAATGAAAGCATAAGAAAAGACAGCAAAAGAAGAAGAATGGAAATTATCGAACAACATGTAACCAAAACAGGAGGTTTTAAAAATGCTAACAAGGAATTAACAAACTCAAAAGACTGGATCGCAAAAATTAAAAACGACAGCGGAGAATACAGCTACCACAGAAAAAAAATCTTAGGAATTGTCATATCTCATTTCAGAAAGATATACGAACACAACATCGCTCAAGACGAAGACGACTTAGAGGAAACCTCAAACGTCTCTAACATCCTTATGAGTGAAGTAATAAATGCTATAGATAGCCAAAAGAGAGACAAGGCACCGGGACCAGATTGTATAAACAATGAAATCTTAAAAGAAAGTAAAGAAGTTATAGCACCAGTCCTTACCGACATATTCAATGAGATAATAATCACCGAAATTATTCCACAGCAATGGACAGATTCGAACATTATTCTTCTATATAAAAAAGGAGACAAATATAAAATCGGGAACTATCGCCCCATCAGCCTAATGTCCAATTTATATAAAGTATTTGCTAAGATCTTACTAAATCGGATTGAGAAACCATTGGACGAACACCAACCCATTGAGCAGGTGGGTTTTCGTAAAGACTACTCAGTGCTCGACCACATCCACGTGGTACGCCAAGTTATGGAGAAGCATAAGGAATACCAATTGACCTACTACATAGGATTCATCGACTACAGCAAGGCGTTCGATTCTTTATTTCACGCAGAAATATGAGAGTCATTAAAAGAACAAGGAATTGACCACAAGTATATCCGCTTAATTAAAAACTTTTACAACAAGAGTACAGCGAGAATACAACTGGAAAAGAAAGGCGAATTTTTCAAAATCGGCAAAGGTATACGACAAGGAGATCCTCTGTCACCAAAATTATTCTCGGCGGTGCTTGAGTCAATATTCAGAGGTCTTCATTGCGAAAATCTCGGTATTAACGTAGATGGTCGTTCACTAACTCATCTGAGATTCGCGGATGACATTGTGCTATTTGCAAAAACTCCCGAAGATTTAACAAAAATGATAAACGATTTAGCAACGGAGAACAAGAAGGTGGGTTTACAACTGAACCCAGAAAAAACTAGGGTTCTGACCAACGGAGAGAGAACAGCTACAAACTTAGGGAGTAATCAAATCGAGCATAAGGAAGAATATGTTTATCTGGGACAACTAATAACGAATGATAACCCAATGCGCAAAGAAGCTGAAAGAAGAATAACCAACGTCTGGAAAAGGTACTGGGCTTTAAAAGAGATTATGAAGGATAAAAATCTGCATATTAATATAAAAAGCAAACTTTTTACCACCTGCATACTGCCAGTTCTCATGTACGGCAATCAAACATAGACTTTGTCACAAAACCTGACTAACAAACTTGCAACATGCCAGCACGCAATGGAAAGAAGCATAATGAATGTGAAAAGATCTTCAAAAAATAAGAAAACCTCAAATAAAAGACTAGATTAAGGATAACAGTAGTATTAAGCTTTGCATGTACTTCTCTTTTTATGTAATTTTTGATCTGAATAAAAAGGCTATATATATATATATATATATCAATTGCTCGTTTAAAGGTATAGGATTTACGTTAACTGAGCCGACAGATAAGCAATAAAAAGTATGACTGCTTCCTCAAAAAATAACTTGAATTATTGTTATGGTGAAAAATTTGTGAAAAATATTAATTTTGACAAAGTTTTAGCAATCGTAGCATAAAAAACGTATTGCAACGAAAGTGATCAATAATTTTAAAGCAATATGTGCTTAAAGTTGATTTCAAAATGATATTATTCATCATTGTACTTAGGTACATGTAAATAGTGAATTCTTACTATTCGTGTTTAAAACGAGTAAAATTTTGGTAAACAAGTTTGCAATATCGAAATATTATTTACTTAATATATTATATGTAAAATTATATGCAAAAATCTGAACACTAAATTTTATGAAAATCGTTGGAGCCGTTTCTGAGAATCCGTATGCTATACATTTAAACGAGCAATTCTTGTATATATATAATCGGAATCTCGGATACAGCTCCAACGATTTTCCAAAAATTTTGTGTCTAGGGAGTTTCGGGGGTAATAAATCGAACTAGCTAGGATTTATTTTTAGAAAATGTTTTTTGTCCGTCTTTTCAGGCTATGAAAAACTGCCAAAATATAAGGTAAATTTTGACATTCGGTTAATGATCGTAATAGCTCAAGTGGTTATCGAGCGGCGGCGAAATCTAAATACCTTGGTTCGCGTCCCGTCTTCGGTCCGGTTTTCTCCTTTTTTTACTCGTAAAGTTACCTTCTTTTGTGAGTAAATCTATTATTTCGAGCCATTTTTTCCTATTTTTTAAAAATATGAAAATTTTAATTAAACTAATTGCACCATGATAAAAAACAGTTCAGTTTTTTCTATTATGTCAATGAGATCAAAAAGTATTATTCATCAGTATGTAATTTGTATCTAAATGTAATTTCAAAATAAAAACCGAGCAAAGCCGGTCATCCGGGTACTATATATAATATATATATATATATATATATATATATATATATATATATATATATATATGATGTGATGATTTTGCGATAGTTGCCACGCTTAACTAACAGGTGAGTTAGCAAGCGTAATTGGTTATATTTATTCAGTTATCATAAGGAAGATGCTCCTGCTCATCTTATGTTTCAGTTACTCTCTGTCGCCCACGGTACGATATGGGGTAGTGCATATTCTTACACCACCACCGCACGGTGAAAAGGCATTTCAGCGTGCCGATGAAATTCCTCGTGACCAGTAAAAAGGGTATCCGGTTCTCGCTTACAATACTAGAAGCTAACAACAACTCCGCTGTGGAAAACAAATGCAAATTCAAAACACTAACTTTTACACACAACTATACTATTAATATAGCAGCATAGCTCTACCACATAACAAAGCTTACAATAAAATGTGTAACTTCCCCTTATGTAAAAGCGTAAAAATCTAATATTGATTTAAAGTCCTCCGTGCGCAATCTAAATTTAGCTCAATGGGAGACACTACAGGCGAGTGTTTAAAGCTAATAATCTCGCGGTATAGCGAATGGGGACGCTTGGATAGAACGTGCCGTTGCCGCTCGAAGGAACAAAGAACACCCTCGAGTCATAAAGAGCCTCTCGAACCTCTCCCACTCTAAGGGCGACACGCTCTTAAGGGCGTTCTGCATGAGCCCTTTCTGTGCTGTTATGTTACGTGATTTCTTTAGAATTATTAACTAACATTATAGAGATATAAATTTTTTCTCCCGGGGCTTGCTTGTGTGTCTATTGACACAAAACTAAGCAAGCAGAAAAAAGCGTTTTCTATCAATATTATCTAATACAATGTAGAAAACTTGTTCCATACTATCGTGCGTGTGAGCAATTTGTTTGCATCGTTTTGCTATTCGTTGCTAGATGGCTATACCAATACTCGCTGCTTCAACTTCAATCTTCTTGTCAAAACTTAAACAAGATTTAAATCCAAAGGTCAAATCATCACTAACGGAAAACAGTAAACATACCATACCATTAATACTCACGCCTGTCACCCAGAGGGGTAGGCAGAGACTACGGACTTCCATTTGGTACGATCCTGACACACCTCTCTCGCCTCCTTTAGACTTATAAGGTAGACTACGCATACACGTTCGTCGGTCTAATCTGGCCTATTTTCAATGTATCGCCAATTTGGTCGACAAACTTTCGCTTAGGGCGTCCCTTCCCGACTGTACCGTTCACACCTGTAATATAAATTTTCTTTGTCATGTTTTCCGTTTTCGTTATTTCTACATATCCTAACGACCGAAACATTTCCTTCTTAATCCTGATCACAACGCCATCTTGCAAACCACACTTTTCTCTTGTCACACAATTTCTCATCCTGCCAATCAGATTCAGCCTAACATTAAACATTTTTTTCTGGGCTTTCTGAAGTTTCCCGAAATTTTAATATATTTTCACTGTAATAATGGAAGTTCCGTGTATTTATCAATACTGTAAAACAACTTTTATGGTATACTTTCATGTAACGAAACGTCTGGTACTGTAAATCATTAAAGAAATGTCCATCAGTCCATCAGTGGAAATTTACGGGCGACAAGGAGTAAAAAAGTATTTAAAGTTAAAGTTACTATCAAACGTAAAGTACCTATCAAGTCCCACTGCTGGGCACAGGCCTCCTTACATTTCTGAGAAGGTTTTAGGGCTAGGAAAAGTCCTCCACGCTGCCCCGATGCATTTTGATGGACTTCACATATCTTTTTTTTTTAATTTCATACAATTTAAGGACATGCAGGTTTCCTCCTAATATTTTCCTTCACTGTTTATTCGCTATTGGTTTAATTCATTGGTATACAATTACGTTGGTGCAGGCGGGGTTTGAACCGAGGTTGCTCGCGTACTGTAATATTTACAGTGAGCGCTGAGCCCATTAGCTACCACGGCATTTTTGTTCATTTGCTCTCAAGCTAAGACACTTGTCAAGCAATGTAAAGTTGCAGCATATACGTCATACTGTAGGGTACATGGCTCTTCATATTTCTCAGAGAGTTTCGGTGGAAGGACATATCCACTACTCTGCCCCAACTCATGTTAGTGGACTTCATATTTATTTATACAACTTGTAACAAAAACCCTGTGGTTCCCGTTAAGTGCGTTATCAGAATCAGCACGTAGTCCACCTGATGGTAAGTTGAAGTTGCTGTGGCCCATAGATATCTACATTTATCGTAGATTAAGAATCAAAGCGTTGTCACCCCTTAGAACTAAGAATATCTTATTTCCAGTAAAAAAGGGTCTCCAACAAAAGTTTAAAAAAATCTACAAAAAAAGTGTTGACGATTTCAAGGATGCAAAAATTAAGTTATTTAAGATATTCAAGCAATATCTAATAAGTAATATATAAGAATCCCAACCGGATGAGAATACTATAGAAATACCCTCACAATAATATATTAAATGTTTGCTGTATGTTCGTGCTGATCTTCGAAACGGCTGAACCGTTAGTGAATATAACATATATAGTACAAATATAACTGGTAATTGATATATACAATGTAAATAAACAAATACAAACTGCGAAAAGATATTTAAAATATATTTAAACCGAAAAACTTATAGATTTTTTTAAATTAAAAACGAAATATTGATTAAATAAAATAATCTTAAATCTGAATAACGCCACATTAATATATCCAATCGACCAGCGGGGGTCTCTGGTAATGTTAGTTCGAACAACAAT